CTCAAAGCTAATTTAAAACCAACAAAAGAATTTAAAGATATTATCAACAATAAACTTCATCTTCAATGAAAGAAGGAGATAGACACAAGCCCAAATGTAAATGGCTTGAACTTCCCACTCAAGAGACATAGGCTGGCTGAAAAAAAAAAAAAAAAGAAAAAAAAAAAAAAAACAAAGTTCTTGTCCTTGTGTAGCTTACATTCTAGTGGATACAGATAATATGTAAATAAATAAATATGAATGTAAGAGTATGTAAAAAATGAGGTTCTGACTTAGAATGTACAATATAATCAGTATACAATAGAAAATTTCTAACTTCAAATCTCAACTCTCAAAGAAGCACTGAGAAAGGGCTTTGTGAGGGAGTCCTTTGGAAAGGGTCATTGTAAGAGTATGTGTCCTCCACTGAGAGGTAAGGTCTGTTTCCTTCCAGCTCAGGCTGAAAGAGGAGGTTCCAGGGGATTGCCTTCTGCTATAGGAAACTGAAAACCTGTTTCTATCATCCATTGCTTCCAAATCAAACACCCCAGAACTTAGTGGCTTAAAACATCAACCACTTTATTGCTCATACTTCTGTGAATCAAGAATGTGGTCTTCTCAGACCACAGTGGAATAGTGCTAGAAATCAATATGAAGAAGAACTTCAGAAACTATATGAATACATGGAAATCAAACACCACGCTCCTGAATGATCACTGGGTCAATGAGGAAATTTAGGCAGAAATTAACTTTTTTGAAATGATGAAAATGAAAACACAGCATACCAAAACTTGTGTGACACAGCAAAAGCAATGTTAAAATGGAATTTTATAGCAGTAAATGCCCACATCCAAAAAGTAGAAAGATCACAAATTAACAACCCAACATCATACCTCAAGGAACTAGAAAAACAAGAATAAACCAAACCAAAAGTTAGCAGAAGAAAAGAAATGACAAAAATCAGGGCATAACTACATGAAATAGAGAACAAAAAAAATACAAAGCATCAATAAAATGAAAAATTATGTTTATATTCTTCAAAAACATAAACAAAATTGATAAATGACTAGTTAGACTAACCATGAAAAGAAGAGAGAAGATCCAAATAAACAAAATCAGAAATGAAAAGGAGACAATACAACTGATATCACAGAAATACAAAAGACAATCAGAGACTACTATGAATAACTATATATTCACAAACTAGAAAACCTAGAGGAAATGGATAAATTCCTGGAAACATATAACATCCCAAGATTGAACCAGTAAGAAACAGAATGCCTAAACACACCAATAACAAATAGTGAGACCGAATCAATAATAAAAAAACTCCCCAAAACAACAAAAAACCCAGGACCAGATGGATTCACAGTAGATTTCTACCAAACATACAAAGAACTAATATCAATCCTCCTGCAACTGTTCTAAAAAATCAAGGAGAGGGAAATCTATGAGGCCAGTATCACTCTGATACCAAAACCTGACAAAAAGACAACAAAAAAAGAAAGCTACAGCCCAATATCCCTGATGAACATAGATACAAAAATCCTCAACAAAATACTAGCAAATCAAATGCAACAGGACATCAAAAAGAAAGTACACCATGATCAAGTAGGTTTTATACCAGGGATGCAAGGATGGTTCCACATACACAAATCAATAAATGTGGCACATCACATAAGCAGAATTAAGGACAAAAACCATATGATCATCTCAGTAGATGCAGAAAAAGCATTAGATAAAATTCAGCATCCCTTCATGATAAAAATTCCGAACAAACTAGGCATACAAGGAACACCTCAAAATAATAAAGGTCATATATGACTCAAGCCAACATCATATTTAATGGAGAAAAGTTGAAAGCATTCCCCCTAAGAACTGGAATAAGACAAGGATGCTCACTTTCACCATTCTTATTCGACATAGTACTGGAAGTCCATGCCAGAGCAATCAGGCAAGACAAAAAAAAAAAATAAAAGGCATACAAATTGGAAAAAAAGAAGTCAAATTATCTGTTTGCTACTGATATAATCTTATATCTAAAACATTCTAAAGACTGCACCAAAAAACACTTAGATTTAATAAATGAATTCAGTAAAGTTTCGGGATACAAAATCAATATACCAAAATCAGTAACATTTCTATACAGCAATAATGGCCTACCTGAGAACCAAACCACAGCACAAACTGAACATAAAAGCTTATAAAAAATAATTACACGCCCCAAACAAGTGGGATTTATCCTAGGAATGAAACATTGGTTTAACATCTGAAAATCAATTAATATAAAACACCATATCAATGGAATAAAAACAGTAACCACATGATCATATAAATAGACGCAGCAGAAGCATTTGTCAAAATCTAACACCTTTCATGACAAAAAAAAAAAAAAAAACTACAAATTAGGAATAGGAGGAGAAATCCTGGATCTGATAAAGGGCATCTAACATCATACTTAATAGTTAAAAACTGGATGCCTTGCCCTAAAATCAAGAGCATGTCAAGGATTTCTGATCTGACCATTTCTATTCAACACTGTACTGGAGCTTCTAAACAGGGCGAGTAGGTAAGAAAATGAAATAAAAAGCATTCAGATTGGAAAGTAAGATGTAAAACTGAACCCACCTACAGATGACATGCTATTTTTTGTAGAAAATCTTAGGGAATTAATTTTATTAGAGATAATAAAAAGCTTCAGCAACTTTGTAGGATACAAACAAGATCAATATACAAAAATCTATTGTATTTCTATGCACTTGCAATGAACAATCCAAAAATGTACACCAAAAAAAAATTCTATTTCAATAACATCAAAAACAATAAAATACTTAGGTATAAAGTTTTTAAAAGAGGTACAAAATTTATACTCTGAAATCTATAAAACATAATTGAAGGAAGTTAAAGAAGATCTAAATGAATCATCTTTTTCTTGGGGTAGTACTACTATCCAATGAATGAGTAGTGAGGGCAGTACTGCTAATGCCTACACAACATGCCCACATCAACCAGAGCTTTGCTTTACTTTGGTGCAATTTTTGGACAAAAGAAACACCTCTTTTCCACAAAAGGAAATAAAAATTTTAAAAAAGATTTAAATGAATGAAGAGACATCTCCTGTTCATGAATCAAAAGACTCAATATTGTTAAGATGGCAATACTCCCCAAAATGATCTACAGATTCAACACAATCCCGATCAGAATCCCAGTTGGCTTCTTTGTAATAACTAGCAAAATTCACATAGAAACTCAAGGACCCAGTATAGCTAAAACAATCTTGAAAAAGAACTAATTTCGGGACTCACACTTCTCAATTTCAAAGCGTACTATAGGGCAACAGTAATCAACAGTGTGGTTCTGCCATAAAGATAGACATATAGATCAACGCAACAGAACTGAGTTCAGAAATAAACCCATATATCTATGGTCAACTGATTTTTGACAGGGGTGCCAAGAACATCAATGGAGAAAAAATCATCTCTTAGACAAACAGTGTTGGGGCAACTGGAGAGCCACATGCCAAAGAATGAAGCTGGGCCCTTACTTCACACTATATGCAAAAACTAACTCAAAACGAATCAAAGACCTAAATGTGAAAGCTAAAACTGTAAAACTCTTAGAAGAAAATATAGGGGTAAATATTGGTGACCTGTATTTGGTAATGGATTTCTTAGATAAGACACCAAAAACATAAGCAACAAAAGAAAAAACAGATAAAATGAACTTAATCAAAATTTAAATTAGAAAAAACTTTTTAAATAGACTACCTTTTTTAGAGCAGTTTTAGGTTCACAGAAAAATTGAGCAGAAAGCAGAGTTCCCATATACCAAACTCCCACCCTTTTCCCTATAATTACCATCTTGCTTTAGTGCACTACCTTTGTTACAGCTGATCAGCAAATATTGATAAATTATTAACTAAAGTCCAAGGTTTACATTAGGGTTCACTCTTTGTGTTACACAGTTCTACGGGTTTTGACAAATGTATAATATAGTATCATACAGAATAATTTCACTGGCCTAAAAATCCCCTGTGCTCCACCTATACCTATTCCCTACTCATTCAATTTTCAAAACAATATTATAAAGGGGAATTTTACAGGCATTGTTTTAAACTGAGAACTCCGACTCCTCATTTTCCTCCTCTATAAGAAAGAACAATAATAGCATCTGCCTCACACTGTTGCCGTGAGATTTAGTGAGTTATTATATACACAAAGGCCCACGTATATGGGATCTGGTGCAAACTCTCAATTATCAGACTTATTTGCTTATATGGCCAGAATAAGATTTTCCCTTCTGAGGATGCTGATTGGTTTCACCTCTTGACTCAGGAAAAGAGGCACCTTAATTCTGGGAGAAGCAGAAGATTCAGGATTAGCCTTTTAATAATGGCAAGAAGGAACAGAAAGATGGCTCCACAGAATGGCAGCACCCAGCAGTTTCTTGCTTTGTTTTAAGCTCCACAGACTGAGATGGAGTAGAAGCCTGAACGCAATGTGCAGTGCCCACAGCGCCAGGTCTTGGGTGGTGGTGGGGGCGAGAGGCAGGTCTGGGCTGGGCTCAGTCAGTGCCCATTGAGATGCTGAGGCCCAGCTGCAGTGTGCCAGGGAGGACATACAGCCCTGCAGCCTTTCCCTAGCCCCTGCCACACTGTCCCCATTTCCTGAGGCTCCCTGCTGCCCTCACTGAAAATGTAGTCTTGTCCTACCTGTAGGCCACTGGGATGGGGCCTTGACATCCTGTCTTGTGGTTACCTGTCTCCTAGAGAGCAGAAGCCCAAATCCTCAGAGGCTCCCTAGGTCCCATTCCAACTATTCCAGAGTCTAGGTGCGGTCTCCCACAGCAACCCTGGCCTCATGGTTCCACTCTTTGGCCAACACCTTCAGACTACATACAGTCTGGGCCATCCACCAGCCCCACCTGCCTCCTTTCCCCAGAGCCTTCTAAGGAGGCCTTATTATGTGTGTGGGAGTGTGGACAGGAGTCACCAGAGTGGTTGCAAGTTCTGTGAGGGCAGGAGTGTGTCTTTGCTGGTCCACATAATTTAAACAGCATGGCCCAGAGGACATTGGTCAGGAAGATGTAGGAACATCCTCTTGAACATATCTAACAGGCCCCATTCTGACTGGGAATACTGGCTCCCTGTCTTCTGGTCCAGCCTGAGGCCAAGAAGGCCCCCAAAGAGAAGATTCTAGACTGCTCAGGCTGCCTCATAAATGCGTGACTCAGGAGCCTCGGCAGCACTTCCTAAACCAGGTCATCTAATCCAGATCTCTATACCTTTGCTAGAACATTCCAATGTTCCAGCAATTGGAATCACAGCAGGGAAGAGTGGGTGCCTTCCATGATAGAGTGGAAGCTTAGATGTCTTTGTTCATTTGCTTACTTTACTTCTCACTTGCAGAGTTCTGAGCTAAAATTTAAAATTTTTATGCTTCATAGGATACTATTCAAAAAGTTAAAAGACAACCTATAGAATGGTAGAAAGTATTTGCAAATCATCTATCTGATAAGAGTCTAGCATCCAGAATATATAAAGCATTGTTACATCTCAACAAAAAGACAACCAACCAAATTGAAAAATGGGCAAAGCATCTGAATACACATTTCACCAAAGAAAATATACAAATGGCCAATAAGTACATAAAAAGATGCTCAACATCAGTAGTCATCAGGGAAATGTTAATCAAAACTATAATGAGATACCACTTTGTACCTACTAGTATGGCTATAATGAAAAAGTCATATAGTAACAAGTGTTGGCAAAGATGTAGAAAAGTCATAATCCTGATATACTATTGGTCAGAAGGTAAAATAGGGCAACCACATTGAAAAATAGCCTGCCAGTTCCTCAGAAAGTTAAACATGTTACCATGTGACCCAGAAGTTATACTTCTATGTATAAACCCAAGTGATATGTTCACAGAAAAAGAAATGCTCACAGCAGCATTAATCGTAATAGCCAAAGGGTGTACACAACTCAAATGTCCATCAACTGATGAATGGATAAACAAAATGTCATATATCTGTATAGTAAAATATTATTCATCCATAAAAAAGAATGAAGTACTAAAACATGCTACGACATAGATGAACCTTGAAAACATTATACTAAGTGAAAGAAGCCAGTCACAGAAGACCCTATACCATAGGCTTCATTTGTCTGCAATGTCCAAAGTAAGCAAATCCATAAATACAGACAGCAGATTGGTGATTGCCAGGCACTTGGGAGAAGGGATGTGGGGAGTGACGACTGCTTAAAGAGCGCAGGGTTTATTTTTGGGGTGATGAAAATGTTCTCAAAATCAATAGTGGTGATGGTTGTATAATATTGCTAATGCACTGTTACTAAAATGTACACTTTAAAATAGTCAAAACGGTGAATTTTATGTTATGTGAATTTTACCACAATAAAAAAAAAAGAGATAATCACAAATGGCAGAAACGTCACAGACTAACAGAAGGACTCCATGTGTGCCATTTGACTGATGAACCAAACAACAGGGCTATGAACTAAAATATCAGGAGTACTTAAAGTTTAAGGAAGAGCTATTTTCATACAAAGAAAATTACTTGAAAAAAGAAAAATAAAGGAACTGACTTCTTATACATAAAAATACATCTAAAAGGAAATAAAAGAGAAATGTTTTTTCAAAGAAAGAGTTCCCAACCAACCAGAAGAAATTCCATTCTCCCCCTCACCTCTTCCTGGGCTGACAGCTGTGACGAAAGGTCTGTGTTCATTCATTTTCTCCTGCCTCTGCTTTTGAGAAGAAGCCAGTTCCAGTTCCTTCTTTGCTAGTAGCTTGCCAGATGGGTAGAACAGGCCAATGGTCTGCGTGCCTATGTCCTTCTTAGTCCCAGAATAAGATTTGGGCAAAGGAAAATACAGGGAATGCCAGGCAGATCGGGGCTATGAGAAAGCCAGAAAACATAAAAAATTAGAATATAATTTAATTAGTCCTCCATTTTACTCATAGAAAACAATTCTAATCAGAATGAAAAATATCTCCAAAAAACTACACTTTCAACTAAAAGGAGTTTTCTAGCCCTTGCCTCACCATCTTTGCTGTTGTCTTTCTCAGCAGCTCCCAGACTGATCCCTGAAAGCAGCCCCATCTCCTTGGCCATTTGTTGTCTTAAATTCAGCAAATCAACAGGTGTTTCCTGGTCTGTCTAAAGCCTAGAAGACAACTATCCTTTCAGCTCTACAATCCAATGGAACACACAGATTTCACTACTCATCCACACTCAATTACTGGGCACCAACATTTTCTTTAATACTCTCTCCTGCATCTGAACCTGAGGACCTGAGAGGACTACCATGTAAGGTTGTATGGGTTGTGCACTGCACATCACTGTATCTAAAGTAGCACCATTCACATGGTGGACATCATGTATTTGCACATGTATTAGGATAATTTTTCTGGTAGAGGAAAGTAAATGTCTAAAAAATTTAGTATATTACAAGCAATTTCCAACAGATGGCAGTCAAGTATTTTGAGAAAAGAACATCTTTGTTTCATTTGCACAAAGGTATTATATGGGCTAGTGGCAGTCCCAGGATCTATGTCTTTCAATTTGGGTTAAGAAGGCCATGAACTCCCTAAAATTGTATGCAAAATGCTAAGTGCATGTGCATTCTATCTAATAATTATCAATCTTCAAATTTTTATAATGAAGAGATAAGAAGAAACCTGGAAAGTCTTTACCCAGCTTAGAGAAATTCATAAAAATCTAATACAAAGCCAGTTGTTAGAGAATAAGTATTTCTGAAAAATAACTGTGTGAAAATAAAATAATGAATAAAATAAATAACTGTATAAAGATTTATTAACTGTGTTATAAATGGCAAAACCAATCTTATATACCTGACATAAGTTTTCTAAAATATAAAAGGACACTGGGAATAGCTCCTGGAATGCTACATAAGAAATTCAAGAGAAGTATATTCTATCCCATGTATTTTAAAACCACTTCTCCCTAGTGGCATTATGTCCATTGCCTTGCAAATACAATTAGAACTCAATCTACTACAGACAAATACATATCTAGAGCTTTGATTTCTAAAGAAATCATTTAAAAAGTGTTTCAAACCTAAATTGATTGAATATATTTATACATCTAGTTGAACGTCCATGTGAAAGGTCTAACTGCTTTGGCTCTCTTGGGTTGATTCATACGGTAGAGAACACAAATTCAGAGTTACATCCTTCTCCCAAGGCACCAGTTCTCATTATAGTGGAGGTCTCACCTCAGAAAATGGGCGAGGTTCCCCAGCAACTAGAGCCAGGCTGCTGTCCAAGCTAAGTCTTGCCAAAGATTTCACATAAATACCACAGGTGCCACAGAATCGGGCAGACAGGTGGTTGCTGGCCCCACATTTAGGGCAAACAGAGTAGCCAGAAGGAAAGCCAAGCTAGAGGATAGAAAATATTTTAATGAATATTAGAATTACAATTTTCCCACATATTCTCATACCATATAATCTCTAGCCATCAAAATAACATATGCCTATACCCTCTGACCCAGTGATTCTACCTTCTAGAATTTATCTTACAGATGGACAAGTAAACAAAGAAGTATATTCCAGGCCATCCCCTGCAGAATTGTGGTTTTAGAAGAAATCATTGGAAACAATCTAAGTGTCCCGCAATAGAGGATGGCCTAAGTATATCATAGTACATACGGACAATGGAATATTATGAAGCCACTGAAAAGAATGAAGTGGTTACTAACAAGATATATTGCTAGGCAAAAAGAATTAGATCAGTGATCATAATAAGCACTAGTTAATGCATAAATGCATCAAGACTGGGTGTGGTGGCTCACACCTGTAATCCTAGCACTTTGGGAGGCTGAGGTGGGACGATCACTTGAAGCCAGGAGTTTGAGACCAGCCTAGGCAACATAGCAAGACCCCCATCTGTACAAAAAATAGAAAAAATTAGCCAGGCATGGTGGTGCACGCCTGTAGTCCCAGCTAGTTGGGAGGCTGAGGTAGGAGGATCCTTTGAGCCTAGGAGTTTGAGGCTGTAGTGAATGGAGCCACTGCACCCTAGCCTGGGCAACAGAGTGAGACCCTGTCTCAATCAATCAATCAATCAATGCATGGAATAGCTGAAAGAACACTTCAGGAACTGGATATCAGCGATTGCTTCCGGAAAGGGGAACTGTGGGAATGAGTTGAGAAGGGACAGTAATCCTTCACTCTAAACCATTTTTATCATTTACATGCAATACTCAGATAAATAGATAAATAATTTTTAGTGTCCTATTAAAAAGGTAGAAATGCCCATAGTCAATAAATGAATGAAAATGATTGACCTCAAAGAAATGCAAATCAAAACAGCAATGAGAGATGGTTCTCAAATGCAAGAAGATTAATTACCTCTCTCTCCAGATTCTTAAGTAAATAGGTGCCAATACCAAAATCACAAGTGATTTCTGCAAGCCATGCAAGAGCCTGGCTCTCTAGGCTAGTGATGAGATGCTCAGCACAAAGAAGCTGTTTTAAAATACCCACCATGGCTCCACACCAGTCACAGGTGGACACCTCCCGGAGATTCCGGTGACCACAGCTGGAGCAGGAAATGGCCTCTCCTCTATGAGTGGACGGAGAAGGGGCTCTATCCCCACTGCACGCTGACTGGTGAACAAAACGGCATTTACAGGTGGGATTAATATTATACTCGCCAATCTCCCTCCCAATCCAAAAATGATAAAAAGCCTGTCAACAATGCAAGCCCTGGAAACACAGTATTTTTTTTGCCAAAAGAAGTAAAACTATGACGGGCTTCACCAATTAATACAAAGAACACATATTCCTTTACACAGATCACAGAAAGTCAACAAAACTGATGCCTCAAAGATGCCTTTTGATATTCTGCAGTATCTTTAATATCAAAGGGAGCAAGCCTACTGTTGATTTAATAGAACAATATTAATAAATAAAGGAAGGAAGGAGAGCTAAGCTACCTAAGGTATTATGATCAAAGTTTATTTTCTATACTTTGGGCTTCTGGTTTCCATGTGGAAATCTTACCAGGATTGCCTACAGGATACTCTTAAAACAGGCAATCCTAGTAAGGTATTCCTTCCTAGGCAATCCTAGTAAGAGATTTTCTCATTTCCCAAATGGGGATGATAGTCACAGTGACTGCTACCTGATCGCCTACTGTGTATGGTACTGTTCTAACACTGCCCCACAGCTGTGAGGTGGGTGCCATCATCTTCCCCATTTTACAGAGTGGGGAACTGGGGCACAGAGAGGGTAAGACCCGAGATTTGAATCCAGGCCATCTGACTCTAAAGCCTGACTCTTCTCCATGACTCCACATAGCCCCTTCAATACAACGGCTTCCTCACGGGCTGTACAAAGTTTCACATGATCAACAGCAAATCAGTGTATAGGAATGCTCTGCACAGGCCCACACTGCACCAGCCAGCTTCCTTCACTTACCATCTTGCTTTCCACTAGATGCTGATTTCTTTGAGGGAAAGAACTATAATTTCACATTTTTTCCCCACGAGGACACTTCATTCCTTGGCACATGGGAGTCATTAAAACAGTCACTGAGTCAATGAATAACTGATTCAATTGATAATTGAATGCATGTGTTGCCATATATTCGATGTGTAATACTAAGGATGTGAATATTAGGGAAAATGTTTGCTAAGGGCAATTTTCCCTCAAAGATGGAAATTTTAGTTAACTTTATTTGCCCAGCTGTATCCTGTTTTGCTTCAGGGCCTGCCCTGTTATAACAAAACAGAAACCTATCCAAAAGAGGCCACATATACCTCCAACATCCACAGAAACCCTGAGAAAGGAGACCCCTTGTTGTGTACACTTACCCTCATTTCTGTGCAATTAGAGGGATACTCCTTTGGGTAAATCAAAGGAGAAATCCTTTGCAAACTTTTTCTTCAGACCTTACATTTCAATTATCCCACTCTTAAAACAGAATATTGACACAAAACTTGTCAACCCGTGTTTTTAAATATAATGCCTTCAGAACTTTCACTGAAATGCATCTACTGTTCAAACAGATTTTTAAGATAACATTGCTTTAAAGAAAGAAAAATTATCTTACCCCATCATATTAATGCTGCTAAACAAAAAAAAGACATAAAGCTATCAGATCGAACATGCATTGCTACTTCTATGCCACTTCAGTGATAAATATTCTCATTGTGACATCTAAACTGTGATATACCATTCAGACAGAAACACAATTATTAAAACAAATTCAATTTTGGGAATGAGACCTAGAAACAATTACATCACTGACAATTCATAAAGTCAATTTAAATTATTTTACCATTTATATAAGAAGTTCAGAATGCCTGAGGAAAGGATGTCTGAGAAAATAAATCTTTTGCTTGGTAATTTACTTAATCTATCAGCAAGATCTTTCCAAGAATTCCAGAAGTTCCACTGTTTTCTACTTTTATATTTTTCCAATCTCACTATTTCTCTCTCTGGTGCCTTGGAAAATTATAGATGTCATTTCGTGATGGGAGAGTGATATAAAGTCTAAAACTGCATTACCAGACAGACAAATAACTATCAACAACAGACTACCCTAATATCACATCAGATTTGACTTTGAAATATGTGTTTTCTGATTCAATTCACCACTGCATTAGTACGTTTTTTGTCTCAGTTCTGAAAAAAATACGTATTATGTAACAGAAACCATTTAAAAAAAAAAAACAGGGCCGGGCGCGGTGGCTCACGCCTGTAATCCTAGCTCTCTGGGAGGCCCAGGCGGGCTGATTGTTTGAGCTCAGGAGTTCGAAACCAGCCTGAGCAAGAGCGAGACCCCGTCTCTACTAAAAATAGAAAGAAATTAATTGGACAACTAAAAATATATAGAAAAAATTAGCCGGGCATGGTGGCGCATGCCTGTAGTCCCAGCTACTCGGGAGGCTAAGGCAGGAGGATCGCTTGAGCCCAGGAGTTTGAGGTTGCTGTGAGCTAAGATGATGCCACGGCACTCTAGCCCAGGCAACATAGTGAGACTCTGTCTCAAAAAAAAAAAAAAAACAAAACAAAAACTACACAGATTTTTCCTTCTGGTAATGCTGGATTAAGACCATACCAAATGACTCCCACAAAGAAAACAAGTAAAAATCTGCTCATTAATACATGAAGGCAGTGGAGAATGAACAGAAGCAGGTAAATTCTTGTAGCAAGTATACACAGGAGGAGAGGAGTTGTGCAGAGTTAGTTCCCATCTCCATGGCCTTTAGCCTGGGGATAAGGACAGCACACATAGTACACGTGAAGGGGTGGGCAAAAGGCAGTATTTCTGGCCAGAAGAACCAGAAAACTGAAGCTGAGGAATATTTGGCTGCTGGGGAGGTAGGCACCTCCCAGAAAGGAAACAGACAGAGAGGGGATTCTCAAATTCTGTATACTCATATCTGATCCCTGAACAACATATATACAGAACAGATTCAACACAGATCAACTAAAGAAAAATACCTGAATGGAGACCAAACTTGCTGCTTCCCTACCAAAACTTATTCTCTTGGGCTTTAGTATGTTGGGGAATTTTAGATTGTATCCTACCATTATGAATGTTAGGCTGTGATGCTTTGGGATTATTACTATTCTTTGATGAATAGTAACTGGGTTTTCCGTTGTTGTTTATTTGTCTATTTTGTTTTAGCAGGTAATAATATATATGTCTGATTTGGAGAATGCACTGCCTGGAAGGAACCAGAACCAGTCCTTCTCAAAAGGAAAGAAAATCAACTGAGTTCAGCTCTAAGATAAATCAGATACTGGAACTAGCCAACCAGAATTTTGAAGCATAGATTTTGTCCACAAAGAATAAAAAGACAGGAAATCTCAGCAAAGAAACAGAAACATTAAAAAGAGAAACAAATGAAAATTCTGAAGGAAAAAAAGATAATATTTGAAATAAAATGTTTACTAAGTGGATTTAATAGCTAAAAGGAGGTGCTAAAAGAAAGAGTAAGTGAGGCAAACTTGAAGATAGATCAAAAGAAATCATACAATGTGACAAGAGAAAAAAAGATTTTAAAAATGATCAGAACCTCAGGGACCTATTAGCTGATATCAAACAATCCAACAGATATGTATATGGAATCCCAGAAGGAGAGTAGAAAGTGAGTGGGACAGAAAAATACCTAAAGAAATCATGGATAAACAATTCCCAAATTTGATGAAAGACAGAAATTTACAGTCACAAGATTCTCAATGAACACCAATCAGAATAACTGCAGAGAAGTTCACTCTGAGGCACATGATAGCCAAACTGTTAAAAACCAACAAAAAAAGAGCAAATCTTAAAAGCAGCAAGAGAAAAATGATGCATTGCATACATGGAAACATCAATCTGATTTAAATCTGACTTTTGCGTAGAGACAATGGAGGCCAGAAGATTGTGGAACACCTTTAAAGCTCTGAAAGAAAATAACTGTCAACCCAGAACTATATATCAAAAATAGTCTTTGAGAATAAAGGTTAAATAAAGACATTTTCAGATAAAAGAAAACTTAGAGAATTCACTGGCAGCAAACCTGCACTGTAAGAAATGATAAACGGAGGTCTTCTGTTTGAAGGGATACGATACTAGAGAGAAACTCGGATACTCAGAAAAGAGTAAAGAACATCAGAAAAGGTAAATATTATGTGTAAATGCAAAAAACTAGTTTTTATCTTTTTGGTTTTTCCTCTAAATTTCTTCCTAAACCAAATAATTATTTAAATCAGAAATTATAACATTATCATAGGACTTATTTTTTTATATATATATGTATGTATAAATACATAACTATAACATAAAGTATGGGTGGGAGGGATATAAACCTACATGGTTATAAGATTTGCATATTTTACTTGAGTTGGTACAATAATAACTAAGTAGACTACAAAAAGTTAAAGATGTATATTATAATCACTAGGGAAACTACTTAATAATGCCAAGAAATACAGTTAAAAGGCTAATAGGGAAATTAAAATGGAATTCAAAAAGGTATTCAAATAACCTAAAACAGCAGGAAAATAGGAACAGAACAAAACATATAAGAAAAGTAGAAATCAAATTAAAAAATGGTAGCTCAAAACCAATCATATCGATAATTACATTAAACTTTGATAAACTAAATGTTCACTTAAAAAGGGAGAGATTGTCAAAATGGATTTAAAAAAAAAACACCTACATGTGAGCCACAGACAAGCACCAACTATATAAGCTGGAAATAAATATTTAGAAAGAAATATTCTATGTAAACAATAAAAATAAGAAGGCTGGAGTGGTTATATCAACAGAGGATAAAATAGGTTTCAGGAAAAAATGTATTACCAGAGATGTAGAGGGATCTCTTATAACAGTAAAAGTTAAATTCATCAGTAAAACATAACAATCAAAAACGTTTATGTATGTAACATAATAAATAATGCAAAAATGGACAAATTAAAGGTAGAAATAAGCAATTCTAGAATCATAGTGGGAGGGTTTCCCCTAAAAGCATTTTTTTTAATTTTTTAAATTGACAAGTAAAAATAATACATATTTATGGTACACAATAAGATGCCTTGATACATGTATTGTAAAATGGCCACATCGAGCCACTTAGCATATGCATTACCTTAAATACTTATCATATTTT